TATACTGAATTAAGGGGGTGAGTCCAAGAATCACCAGTCCTTAAAACTGAAAAACTGCTCCCGGTTGTTATTAAAGATATGCTGAAGGAAGCAGGGTCAGAGGTTCTTTGAGGGTGGAGGAAGGAGGCATGGAAAAGAGGAACTCAGTAGACTTCTGGTAGACTAGAAGGTGGGGAAGGAAAGAATGGATGCTCCCTACAGCCTGCAGAAAAGGACCAACCCTGCTTATAGCTCGATTTTGGTCCAGGGAGTGAGACCTAGGTCGGCCTTCAGGCCTGCAGAACTGGAATGAACTGTGACATGATAAATTTGTGTGGTTTTAAGCCATGGAGTTTGTGGTAATTTGCCATATCAGCAATAGAAAGCAAATCGGTTCTCTACGGCAACCCACCCACCCCTGGGCTGAAGGCCTCTTACTGCCTCAGCCCTGAGTTTAGGGCTATGAGGATGTGTGTTTTGCAAAACAGGCAACACTGAGAACTTAAAACAACTTCATTGCTAAAGAAGATGAGAAGAATTTAGAGGAAGTTCAGTAGCTTTGTTACCCAAGTTTTTGGGCTTGTTTTTAATTTTTGTAATTCATGTGGCCATCCCAATACCCAGCAGAGTGGAGTGTCCAGCAGATAACAAGGTTCAGTGGACACTAGTTGCCTTCAACAGATCCATTCTACCACAACAGGCTACGTAAATAGCTACTTTTAAAAAATCTCAAATTTATCAGCCAGGGCATGGAAATACAAGTTCTCAACATCTCTTCAGGTTCTCAACATTCCTGTGATTGGACAAAACTTGAGAGAACTGGACAAGGAAACATCCTCCGTCCCTACACCTCAGGGACCAATGGTCTACAGTCACACGGTGGATGGAGTAAAATACCATTCTAGGGTTTAAACGAATGAGGACAGTTCTGTCCTTCAATATAACAACAGGGAATTACGCCCAGACTGTAAGTAATGAGAAGCAAGTGGCGCAAAATAAACAGATACTCATTGTTACAAAGTCCCCGTCTTCCCTGCGACTTCTAGTGTTACACACCTCAGCTATTTTATACTCTATAAATTATCTTTTAGTCTTCCCTTAAAACTATAAAAACTGCCAAGAAAATAGTATGGCCAGGTGTAAGGTGATCTTACTCCCTGAGAAAGTACTTGTCAGTGCAGCACGGATACCCCCATCTCCCTGACACTGAAACTCAGGCAGTGGTTCTACCCAGAGGAAGGACACGTGCCTGTGTGTGCCTTCATGTCAGACGTGGAAAAAGCAAATGTGGTAAAATCTATCAAGAGATTACAGTCCTAGGAGAACACATCCTACAATTTTTTGCGCTTCTCTGTATGTCTAAAATTTTGCAATATAAAAAGAGATGGAAAATTAATGTCACCTGGACTCCTATCAGGGGTCCTCAAAGTTTTTAAACAGGGGGCCAGTTCACTGTCCCTCAGACCATTGGAGGGCCAGACTGTGGGCCCCGGGACAAGTCGGCTACTAAGGCAGGACAGGCAGCGGTGGCAAAAATACCCAGCAGGCCGTAGTTTGAGGACCCCTGTGACACTGTGAAACTTAATGCAAGCAGGTTTATTAGACTGATTTGACTTGGCACGAGGTGGGCCATGGCTACTTAATTTTGTAGTTTTCAAAATTGTCCAGGTGAACTATTTATAGGTAAGTCTTTCAGATTTCTTTTATTACTTCCTAACACACTACAGATGAAATCTAGTTTTTATTTAAAAAGGAAAAACAGGCTGGGTGCAGTGGCTCACGCCTATAATTCTAGCACTTGGGAGGCGGAGGTGGGTGGATTACCTGAGCTCACGGGTTTGAGACCAGCCTGAGCCAGGGTGAAAAAAAGCCGGGCATTGTGGGAGGTGCCTATAGTCTCAGCTACTCAGGAGGCTGAGGCAAGAGAATCACTCAAGCCCAAGAGTTTGAAGTTGCTGTGAGCTGTGACGCTATGGCACTCTACTGACAGTGACAAAGTGAGACTCTGTCTCAAAACAGTAATAATAAAACCAAGTAAAAACAGGAGGGTTCAACTACTATAATTTTCTCAACTTTTCAAAGTGAACCAAAATAAGGCTATGTTCTCAAGAGAAATTGTATACAACTCTGCTTAGGAACTAGGCAAAATATGGATCACGGATAAAGATCAACATAAGTCCCTATAAAGCTTATACAGAAATGCAGTAGTCATATAGGGAATTTTCTATTTCTCCCTGTGAACCTTTGATGGGCTTTATTACATGCAGGTCTCCTAAGCCTAAAACTCTGAAGTCAACATAATCTAGGATAATTAAAAAATCACTGAAAAGCCAGGTGTGCTAGCACGTGCTTATAATCCCAGCTACTTGGGGGGCTGAGAAGGGTGGGTCCCTTGGGCCCAGGAGTTTGAGTCTAGCCTGGGAAAAACAGTGAGAAAAAAATTTTTTAGGGCGGTGCTCTGGCTCAAGAAGTAGAGCGCCATCCCCATATACTAGAGGTGGAGGGTTCAAACTCAGCTCTGGCCCAAAACTGCAAAAGAAAAAAAAAAAAAAATTAATAAGAAAAAGAGGCCACTGAAAACATCAGCTGTGTTCACAGAATTGTAGGTCACAGTTAAGAACTGTGAGACAGGCTCGGCGCCTATAGCTCAACCGGCTAAGGCGCCAGCCACGTACACCTAAGGTGGCGGGTTCGAATCCCCAGCCTGGACCCGCCAAAACAACAATGACGGCTGCAACCAAAAAATAGCCTGGCGTTGTGGCGGGCGCCTGTGGTCCCAGCTACTTGGGAGGCGGAGGCAGGAGACTCGCTTGAGCCCAGGAGTTGGAGGTTGCTGTGAGCTGTGATACCATGGCACTCTACCCAGGGGGAAAGCTTGAGGCTCTGTCTCAAAAAAAAAAAAAAAAAAAGAACTGTGAGACACAGGAACTCCCGCAGAGAATAGCTCCAAACACCTGTTTACCCTGCATGCAACAAAGCACAGGGCACCAACGGCAAGCTGGAACTCTAGCGATTCTCAAACACATCTAGACACCTAGCAGCACCCTGTTACTGTTCTACTTACTGAAGGCCCTGTCTAATCCATCCACTCCCATCCTCATTCAAGGTATTAGATGGCAGGGCGAGGTGGCTCTCACCTGTGGTCCTAACACTCTGGGAGGCCGAGGCAGGTAGATTGCTTGAGCTCAGTTTACGGTGATGGATGCCTGTAGCCCTAGCTACTTGGGAGGCTGAGGCAAGAGGATCTCTTGACTCCAAGGGTTTGAGGTTGCTATGAGCTCTGATGATGCCACAGCACTCTACCCAGGGCACAGAGTGAGACTGTATCTCAAAAAAAAAAAAAAAAAAAAGATTTAAGCATAAGCACAATGATATTCCCATGCTCAACTTCTAGTAAGATTTTCACTATGAACCCTGGCTCATTTAACATGATTGAATGGTTCATATCTGCATCCAAGTCTATGCTTACTCTATTACTTCTAAAAACACCACATAGTGTAGCTATTCTGATCGCTAATGAATGAAACAGATTTAGAACTCAGATAGAACTCTTTCAAACGGAATGCAAAATTAAAACTGAAAACGGCTGACTCCTACATTTACAAACAGAACAATTTAAAACATTCAGATTTATTCATTAAGGCATGCAGAAGTTGGAAGACGGTACGATACTTATTTTTTTAAACTGAGCCCAAAAGTACATACTGCTTACACAATATTTCCATTTTTCTTGGACTGAGACACAATCAATTCTGTGCAAGTAACCAGCTAAGCTTTGAGATTCCTTTGCAAAACATTCCTGATGCCTAAAAGGGATTAGGCTGTGTTTGCTAATTCTGTGAATTCTAACAGACTGCATTTTTGGATGCGACTATGTCATAGATGAACTCGGTACATCAAGATATACTTCCATGCAAAGTTTTAAAGTGCTACCAGGAAGTAGTTATCTATTTATTGTTAATATTAAATTTTAAAATACTTCACACCAATTTTGCAATTAACTCAAATGCTACCCTCATTGAAAAAAATTGACTCTTCAGGCAACTTTCAAGATACAGGTCTTTTAGCCAGGTGTGGTGGTTCACACCTGTAATCCTAATACTCTGGGAGGCTGAGGCGGGTGGATCCCTTCAGCTCAGGAGTTTAAGACCAGCCTGAGCAAGAGACCCTGTTTCTAATAAAAGAGAATAACTAGCCAAGTGTAGTGACAGGTACCTGTAGTCCCAGCCATTCTGATGGATGAGACTAGGGGATTGCTTGAGCCCAGAGTTTGAGGTTGCTATAAGCTATGATGCCACGACACTCAGGGTGACAGAGTGAGACTGTCTCAAAAATAAAAATAAAGATACCGGTCTTTTTTTCCTTACTTGGTGGGCCCTAGCTCAGGCATAGGAAATAAACAGAATGGTCAAAATTTAAAGAAAAATTCTGAGCAGTGCCTATGGCTCAAAGGGGTGGAGTGCTGGCCCCATATGCCAGAGGTGGCGGGTTCAAACCTAGCCCTGGCCAAAAACTGCAAAAAAAAAGAAAAAAGAAAAATTCTGACAAAATATTACAAAAGCAAGCCTACTTTTCTTTCCCTCCCTTTCCCTTGCAACATTCCTTTGGAGATCAGGTTCTCCAGCTTTCCTGGATTGTCCCAAACCACTCACTTCTCATTCAGTAGGCCTGGAGAACGGGCATAGGAGTGTAACTGTGGACAAACACCCCCAGGTGACTCCAGTGCAGCTGGCTCTAGCCTACTTTCTGAAGACACCACCGTAAAGACAGTTCTTCCTCCCTAGAGCACATGAATCACATGCACCTTTTAAATACCCAGTTTTTTCCGAATGTATGAATCTTCATAAAGAGGATCTCCGTAAAGCGCACGCACCAGTTAGCTCACTTCCTTTCACCAGGCCAGACACCAAGGAAAATGTTGGCATCCAGGGCACACTCCACATCGAAAGCCCTTCAGATTGAGTCATCACTGTTTGGGGAAGGAAAAAAAAAAAAAGCTCAACAGTATGTTTATCTTACTCAGAGGTTTCCAACACATTTTATTTTGCAGACCACTGGTTTGTAGCATTTGAGAACCAACATCCGTATAAATTCCTATCAAATGTCCAGTTAATTTCAGTTCCACAGCAGCCTCTCCTGTACTGCACTCCGCACTGATGGCTCGAGGTCCAGCTGCACATGCATAAAGGCTGCCCGTTGGGTCCTGAGAGAGGAGGGCGGATCCACGCTAAAGCCTCTTCCCGGGAGCGTCATCTTCCCAGTGGTGGTTTCCTTTGGCAAGAAGTGGATCGGTTTACACGTACGGCTTTGGTGCCTGTAAGCAGGAAGCATTCAGAAACTTGAAGGACGTGGTGGGTTTTCTTTTATGAAGACAGACACTTGAGGATTTAGTGCCCTTGTGCTTAATGACAGGAATCCCCCCCTAACTGTTTAATAGGTTAAAATATAAGAAAGCCTCTGGTTTTAAGTAACACAGGTGACACCTTTTTAGATTGCCTATTCATTCTAGAACTACAAAATTTAATTCAAGAAAATATAGGTCCCATGAAAGACTTGAACGTTTTATAAAACTAAAATCTAGTTTCCCCCCAGTAAGTTGTACTTTAGGCAAAATCCTCCCAGTGCTTCTAAAATAATACTAAAAAGGGGCATCTGATTATACAAGAGCAATTAAAAAAATTAAATATTTATTTGAATAACAAGTTTAAGTTCAAGCTGCAATGTTGGCGATGCAGATTTTTAACACAGATCACAAAAAGCGTGCACGGAAAAAGTAACTGGCGCAAAAGACAAAATAATGCTAAGAATCAGGCTAAAGAGCCACTGATTTTGAGAGAACAAAAGGCCTGAAATCACTATACAAAATATAAAATGTATTTAACACTACCATCCACAGAACAGTCTTTATTATTGATTATATTTAAAAATTCTTTGTGTAGTTAATGATATACTGAATTGTAAGTGAGTATTATACATGAGCCCCCTTTCGGAAGGCAATTCCTTGCTGCGCTATAGAACATCTAATTACATTGCAAAAAGTATCCTTTTTTTGCTATCAAAGAAAACAGTTAATGGTATTACTGTAAATATCAGGAAGACTACAAAAAAAAAAAAAAAGTAAGATTTCTTTTTAGTCTTCAAAGTGCTTTCCATGCAGTGTGAAGCACTTGCCTGTGGGACTGAATGCACTACTGGAGAATGTCCTGGGTCCAAGATGCTGCCCTTGAATGATAAGACTAGGCTTTACAAATCAAAGACTCAAAGGAATCATGCAACCCTCCTATTACTGGGAGACCGTCCTGCCACTTACCAGTGCTGTCTTTCCAGAATACCATTCAAGACACTTAAAAAAAAAAGATCAGACTTATATGATAAATACACATAAAATGAAAAGACATGACCACTATTTGACACTACTATTGGTAATGTCTGTGCTAGGTGAAAGCACCTTTAAAAAGAGCCTATGCGGCAAGAGATAAGTGTCTAAAGATTCAAAATGAATCAACAGTATTGGATAACAATATAATTCTCAACTCAGAAGCTGCCTCAAGATTAGGTGCATCTTCAGTTAATGTAACAGGAAAAAAGGCAATGGATTTTATTTTATTAATTGTATCCACTCACAAATCGACCTAAGGTCACCAGATGTGGAGACACAATGAGATTTTTTGTCGTTTAGAGTCTTTAATTGAAGTGATGATAAAGGAAATAGATCTATTTAAAAACAAAACCAAACGGCTGTTTCTGTCTAGATTAAGAGGTGGCCCCGGGTGTGGGATTCACATTTTGAGTGGCCACTTGTGGTGCGACTTCGATGATCCGGGGTTTGTCTATGATCCTGGCTGTGCGGTTGCCCTTCTCTACAATCCCAATAATCCATGCTTGGTGACCTTCACCGTATTTAGGGGACTTTATCTCTGCACAGAACCGAGCTGCTTGCTCTCGTGGTAAACAAATCAGAAGGCCTCCTGGCAAAAGGAGAAAAAAAAAATGCCATTAGTTGTGACATGAGAGCTGCTTTTCTGCCTCTGTTCTACTAAAAAGCTTCTGCATAGATCCACGTCCCATCACCAACTTGTGGCTGTCTGTGGGTGACTTGTTCTTGTTCCACTGAGAGGCCTGCTTTGTTCTGTAGAATCACCAAGAAATTAGGCAATGTTTGGGTAAATTCCTAACATAACACACACGTACTCACAAACCAACAAAGTCTACAATGAGAAAAGACCTCTCTGTGAACCACTCAGGAGCAGGGTGTGGGGCCTCGGTACTGCGTGGGGCAGTGCTCTCCTCCACGCTACACCGAAGGAAACACTGACAAACAAGGAGAGCTTTTTTTTTTAAAGATGGAGTCTCCTTATGTTGCCCTCCGTAGAGTACCATGGTGTCACAGCTCACAGCAACCTCAAACTCTTGAGCTTAAGCGATTCTCTTTGTCAGCCTCCCAAGTAGCTGAGACTACAGGTGCTCGTCACAACACCTGGTTAATTTCTACTGCAGTTCTCATTGTTGTTTTAGTTGGCCCAGGCTGGATTCGAACCCACCAGCCTTGGTGGTGTGTGGCTAGCGCCCTAACCACTGTGCTATGGGCACTGAGCCATAAGGAGAACTTTTGCTTTTCAATTGGACTCTCCACGGCCTCCTTCATCTCACCATCTTACGTTGTTTTAATTCTAAGACTCATGAAAGTGTTTGCCTCAAAGTATCTGGAATCTATTCCTAGCTCTGTTGACTATCTTCAACACAGAAGAGAAGTATAAAGTACATTAAAATAAACTTTTGTTGCCAGGCATGGTGGCTCATCCCTGTAATCCCAGCACTTTAGGAGGCCAAGTTAGGAGAACTTCTTGAGGCCAGAAGTTCAAGACCAGCCTGGACAACACAGTGAGATCTATCTCTTAAAAAAAATTTTTTTTTAAATTAGCTAGGCACAGTATCTCTCTCCTGTAGTCTGTCTCAGCTACTTGGGAGGCTGAGGCAGGGGGATCACTTAAGCCCAGGAGTCCAAGGGTGCAGGGAGGTAAGATCATACTATTACACTCCAGCTTTGGTGACAAAGCAAGACTCTGACTCAAAATAATTAATCAATTAATTAAATAAACCTTTGTTGCTATTTGAAATAGCAGGGCTGAAAATTTTTATTTATTTCTAAGTAGAAATAACATAATCAGAAAAATATTTATATTTACTCTACAAAAAAGTAAAAACTTGGGTGGCACCTATGGCTGAGTGGGTAGGGTGCTGGCCCCATGTACTGAGGGTGGCAGGTTTGAACCTGGCCCCGGCTAAACTGCAACAACAACAACAAAAATAGCCAGGTGTTATGGCAGGTGCCTGTAGTCCCAGCTACTCGGGAGGCTGAGGCAAGAGAACTGCCTAAGCCCAAGAGCTGGAGGTTGCTGTGATCTGTGACACCACAGCACTCAATTGAGGGCAATAAAATGAGACTCTGTCTCAAAAAAACAAAAAAACAAACAAAAAAAAAACTTGTCCTATCTATGAAGAAAACAAATGGTAATATTCACTAATTCATTCAACACTCACTCCACTCCCACTAGATGACAGACACTGCTCTAGACATTCCACCTGCAGGGAAAACAATCTCTGTCCTCTCGGAGCTCACTTCCAGAAAACAGACCTTTGAAAACTAGGAATCTAAAGCAGTGGTCCTCAAACTTTTTAAAGAGGGGGCCAGTTCACTGTCCCTCCAATGGTTGGAAGGCCTGACTGCGGGCCCTGGGACGAGTCGGCTGCTAAGCAGGACAGGCAGCAGTGGCAAAAACACCCGGCAGGCTGGATAAATGTCTTAGGTGGGCCGCATGTAGCCTGCGGGCCATAGTTTGAGGATGCCTGATCTAAAGGGTCTTCTCTCTCTGGAGTCTATGAATGGCTTAGTGGAGCCAATAGCCTTGTCCTTACTAGCCCTGCAGCCCCACACCGGGTTACAGGGCTAATAAGGGCAGGGCTTTGTAGTCCCAGCAGTGTGGTCACGCCTCTTGTCCCACAGTGGAATCTCCCCAGCAGCTTTTACTGTGACTGAGGACCAGGCCCACCATGGCCAGATCACACCAGGTTTTCCTGGGGCTGTGTCGAGGCCTGTGAATTTTTTAAATTCCCAGATGATTCCATTATTTTGCAAAGGTAAAAACTAGAATTCTGGGGGCTGGGCATGGTGGCTCATGTAATCCTAGTTAGCACTCTGGAAGGCCAAGGTGGGTGGACTGCCTGAGCTCATAGGTTCGAGACCAGCATGAGCCAGAGTGAGACCTCATGGGTGTCATAGCACTCTGGAAGGCCAAGGTGGGTGGACTGTCTGAGCTCATAGGATCGAGACCAGCATGAGCCAGAGTGAGACCTCATGGGTGTCATGGCGGGCACCTATAGTCCCAGCTACTTGGGAGGCTGAGGCAAGAGAACTGGGTAAGCCCAAGAGTTTTTTATTTTTTTTTAAGAGACAGAATCTCACTTTGTTGCCCTCAGTAGAGTGCCTTGTGTCACAGCTCACAGCAACCTCCAGCTCCTGGGCTTAGGCGATTCCCTTGCCTCAGCCTCCCGAGTAGCTGGGACCAAAGGCACCCGCCACAACACCCAGCTTTTTTTTTGTTGCAGTTTGGCGGGGGCTGGGTTTGAACCCTCCACCCTCAGTATACGGGGCCAGTACCCTACTCACTGAGCCACAGGTTCCGTCCAGCCCAAGAGTTTTGAGGTTGCTGTGAGCTATGATGCCATAGCACTTCACTGAGGGTGACAAAATGAGATTCTGTCTCCCAAAAAACAAAACAAAACCAAACCAGAATTCTGGAGATAAGAAAATGAAAATAAGAGAGAAATTAAAAGCAAGGGAAAAAAAGTAGGGAGCCTTAAAAGATAAAGAAACAGAAGAGTTAAGGTAAAGAGAAGAGAGAAGGAGGGCAAAGATAAGAATGGCACTCTGCAGACATAATATACTATTTTATTCTTAAAATAACTGCCTGTTCAACGAAATCTGTGGGTATCACAGCTTACTTCAAATGATAAGCTTCCAGTGAAAGTTTAATAAAGACATTATTTTCCCTCTCCCCCCATCACCATATTTCTAGATCAGAAAGGAAAGCACTGGTCACTCAAACACTGCTCAATGACAGGGAGCAGCGACAATAGGGACTGTAGCCCACCCCGGGAGGCTGCATGGGGAACCCCTGCTGAGGAGCTGAGGAGCTGAGGAGCCAGGCTCCAGCTCTGCCCTCCTACAAAGTGGGGTCCTACTCATGGGCTAGGCTGCTGCTTCCTCGTGGAACTTTCTGGCAGCCTCATTAGTTTACACTTCAGACTGGGCCCAGCGTCCTGTACCTGATGTCTCCGGGCAGGTCCCGTGCATGAGGCCAAACATGTTTCCACAGGCCTTGCTCACCGCAGCCATCTTGGCCAGCACGGGAAGATTGTGAATCACAAAGGACACCTCATTCCTCTGCTGCTTGGCCAGGTTCTGTGCGTGGCCCAAAATCCCAAAGCCTGTGATGTCGGTGGCTGCGTGGGCATTGAACGTGTGCATGAGTCCTGCAGCTGAGAGAAGGCACAGGGTGACTCTAGGGAAAAAACCACCTTTCCTCAACTCAGGTACCTCACCTACATGACTGAAAATTCCTTATGTGCCAGGGAGATGACACAGAGGAACAGTGGAAATGTTAATGCTGTAATAGCAACACAAACCAGAGTAAAATTCTGATTTTCTACTTCAACTTGAACCACCTAGAAACTATCAGAAGATTCAGTTAATAGTAATTTTTCAGTTAAAAAAAGCTATGCAAAGGAATTATATTCTCTTTCTCTTTTTTTTTTTTTTGAGACGGAGCATCAAGCTGTCCCCCTGGGTAGAGTGCTGTGGCTTCACAGCTCACAGCAACCTCCAACTCCTGGGCTCAAGGGAGTCTCCTGCCTCCGCCTCCCAAGTAGCTGGGACCACAGGCGCCTGCCACAACGCCTGGCCATTTTTTTTTGGGTTGCAGCCATCATTGTTGTTTGGCGAGCCCGGGCTGGGGATTCGAACCTGCCACCTTAGGTGTATGTGGCTGGCGCCTTAGCCGCTTGAGCCACAGGTGCCGAGCCAGGAATTATATTCTCAATGGAAGATAAGCCTATTAAGATCATCCTGAAATCAAACAGGACTTTTTAAGAATGGCTGACTTAAAATCCAGGCTACTCTCACTAGAGAAGAATTAGGTGAATTCCCTCAAGTTTTTTTTTTTTTTTTTGAGAAGTTAGCCTATAGTTCGGCAAAAATCGCCGAACACAAAGCCTACTTTATAATAAAATGTTGCACATCTTGTGGAATGGCTGTATGGATGCTCAAAGCACGGCTCCTACTGGATGTGTAAACTTCCAGTTTACACTGCAGTAAACTCAAAATCACAAGGGGCACCATTGTTAAGTCAGGGACCACCAACTACGGAACGAACCCAAACAGGTGCCAGCAGAACATGGTCTCAAGTCACTGGCCAAATCTGGCATGTGGCTGTGTTCCAGCTAAGAACAGCTTCTTACATGCTTCAAGGGTTGTGGGGGATCAATATGCAATGGAGACCACATGTGACCCACAAAGCCTGGAACATTCACTGCCTTGGTGCTGCTAAGAAATCTGCCCCCCACCATGTCTTACCTGTCCTGTTGAGTCTGGCCATGTTCATCATGGCTTCTTGGTATGCCAACTCGACATCTTCTTGGGTGACCACTAGTTTAATTTTATTCCATTTTTCTGGCTAATAATGGGAATACAGGAAGGAGAAAAGGGAGAAAGATGCCGTTAATCTTTACTTCTAGCCACTGATAAAAAGAGCAAGAAATTTTTCCTAGTCATCTTCTGGGGGAGTTTTATTTATCTAATTTTCAAAAGAAAATTAAGTCAGTTCTGACTCTTGGTACTGTAAGTGTCCATTAGACCTGTCATATGGTGTCTGCAGTTCTCATCCCACTTCTGTAATCAAGCATCATGTTGCTGGGCGTGTAAATCCCAGCAGAACGCTCACTGCAGCCTGTCCCGCCCCAGCAGGTGCAGGTCGCCTCGTCAGCCGCTCTGAGCGTCCTCTGCCTCTCCTCCACATCTCCTGTTAAGCTGCCAGCTTTCACTTTTCATACTATAATTATATTTTCACTGACCTTAACTGAATTTTGGAGTCAAACCATCTTGATTGAATCAGTGGAAATGAAAACAACTTTAATTGCAAACACACTGAGGACAGCCTTGGTTGACCAAAAAAAGTATCAGAAAAAGGACCAAAAGACCCCATTATTCTCTTTCTTTCCTCAGTCTGATTTTTAAAGAATCTAGCATCATGGTTCTGGGTTCCTGGCACACTAGCCTCACAGTGCATTAACTACCCAAACCCATGCATTTGCTGTTTACTTTTCAATAATAATAAGGAAATCCAATCACCTACCACCCAGTGTAGTCATTAGAAGTGGCCAGGAACCTCTGTCCACCCTCACCCTGTTGTCCTCATTACTTCTTGAGCGGTAACAATTATTCTGAATTTTGTACTCACTCTTCTTTTTTTTATTTATTATTGGAGACAGAGTCTTACTCTGTCACCCAGGTAGAGTACTCATCATAGCTCACAGCAACCTCAAACTCTTGGGCTCACATGATCCTCCTGCCTCAGACTCCCAAGTAGCTAGAATTACAGCCACCACTTATCGCAACACCTGGCTAGTTTTCTTATTTTTAGTAGAGACGGGGTCTTCCTCTTGCTCAGGCTGGTCTTCAACTCATGAGATCAAGCAATCCACCCACTTTAGCCTTCCAGAGTGCTAAGATTACAAGTGTGAGATAGATACAGTCTTAGTATAGATAAGACTGCACCCGGCCTCCCCTCCTTTTTAAAAAATAATACTCTGGGTGGTGCCTATGGTTCAAAGGAGTAGGGCACCAGACTTATATGCTGAAAGTGGTGGGTTCAAACCCAGCCCCAGCCAAAAATATAATAAATAAATAAAAAATAGTACTCTTGGCTTGGCACCTGATCCAGGTCAGCTAAAAATGACAACTCCAGGGCAGCACCTGTGGCTCAAAGGAGTAGGGCGCTGGCCCCATATACTGGAAGTGGTGAGTTCAAACCCAGCCCTGGCCAAAAACTGCCAAAAAA